AAAGTTGGTGAAGCGTAGTAGTGCAGGAAGCAGGGAAGCTATAAAAGGGTGAAAAAACAAATATTCGTGTGTTGCGGGGGCAACTTGTGGGCCGACGCGTTCTCTCTCCGTCTCTCTCGCTCTCTCCGCCTCTCGCTCTCCCCGACGACAGGTCGTTGCTGTCCACACATGTGTGGCATGCACATCCGTCCGTCCAGTGGCCCGGTAGGCTCGACTCGATGCCCTGGCTCCGTCTGTAGGGCCGCCCCTCCTGGGGCCGCCGAGCCAACTAACGCCGAGGCGACGGATTTTTGGCGCGCTTTTGGGCTATTTCTGCGCGTTGCAGCACGCGGCCGCTTCTAATGGGATGCATTTTCTTTGCTCTTTCTTTTTTTGCTGTGTCGGACGGGACGAGATGTTGGCATCGAGCATTGCGCTTGGCGATCCTCCTCCTGCTGACCGTTGTGACGATTCGAATGGCCACCTGACTTGCTATTCACATCGGCAGTCGGCACGGCGTGCGAGTTGAAAGCGGATCTGAATGAGGGAGCCAGGAGCCAGCAGACGAGACGGGCGTGCGTGCTTGTGTTATTGTGAACCTGAGGGGTGGGTGCAGATAATCTCATGCTGTTTTGTGTCGCGTTTGATCTTTACATGATCCATCACACACTCGATAATTCCACCCGGCTTTGCCTTCGCTCATTTTACTTTGCATGTTTCGCTGCGAATTGGACTCGCTCTTCAAAATCGTGCCATTTTACTTGGAATACGTAATTGTTGGTCGCAAATGTGTAATGTGAATTATTCACAAGAGAAATGCATGAATACGCGAATGAGTTTAGCGCACATGATACGCCACGACACCTTATAATAAGAAAGCTACAGGGTGCCGGACGCGGGGGCGGCACACCGCGTCGCACTCGGCAAGAGGGATTATACATATCGCTTCCAAAGTGGATCCGAGCCTCCCGCGTGTCTTTTTATCCCCCCCCCCCCTCTTTTTACTTTTTTTTGTCCTCCCCTGCCCTCCTTATGCGCGTCTCGTACGCTTGGGCGCTCGCTTTTGTCGCTCGATAATAATTGCGCTTTTGTCACTTGCCCGGCCAGTTGACTGTGGGAACGCGCGGGGGTGGTGCGGGGCGGAGCCGGAGCAGACTGGGCAGACTCCGGGAGCGGCGATGAGAGTCTCCGCGAGGATGTCGCGGACCCAAGGTGAACAGAGCGGGTGCGGGAGATCCCATTCGCCGCTGCTCTGCTGGGCGACGCGATGCAGGCCCAGCACGTGTCGCCACCCTCGGCACGCCGTACCTCCCGAAAACGGGAGGGAAAAAGTCGTCATCCCAGTTCCGGAGCCCCGTGGTGGGGCGGGGCGTGGCGGGGCGGGGCGGGGGAGCTCAACATGTGGCGCGGTGGCGCGGTGGGGCGGGCCCGTAGGGCGGTGGTGCTGCGCACATGTGCCCAGCGCGCCTAAATGACATCCGAATGTGTCCTCCTCATCCTCCTCGCGCCTACTCCGTCCCTCTCGCTCTCGCACTTCCAGCGGGCCCGGCGTCTCCAGTGGGTGCGACAGAGACCGCGCGGCCGCACTATATGGACCCGCATAGTCTCTCCTGCTCTCTTTGCGGCCAGCGCCAACCCGGTTCAATTTGGCGGGACGCAGTCACGGACGCAGTGCGGCGGGCGATTCCGAGAAGAGAAGGGAAGGAGTTCGGAAATAAAATAAAAGTGTCCTTCGAGCCGAGTGGCTGAACGGCAGCCTGTAAACCACAGCCCCGGCCGGCCGAGCAGGCCGAGGAAGGAGGAGGCGAACCCGGGGGAGAACCACGTGTGTCGGGTCGGAACCAGCAGTAAAACTGGGAAAAAACAGTTTCCACCCACCTATTGTTTTTCTGAAAATTCTAAATTTGGGAGAAATGGCACCAATTTCATACACATTGTAAGTGGTTACCAGGTTGTACACACTCGAGATCCTCACCGAATCTTTGTTAATATTCCTTTTACAATATTATTTTTTACTTTTTTCACTGCTTTTTATTTTTCTGACAATGTTGTTTTGTCGGCTGACCGTCGCTGCGCCGGCCCCTAGGCGTGAGACCCGGGCCTATTATTCGGTATTTTTGGTCGATGAGGTCACGTGTTCTGCTGCGCCGGATGTACTGCTTGCTTTTTGCGCGCGGTTTGTTTGGAGTTTGCTATGATTCGCGGCCAGCCGACGGCGCCGCGGGCAACCCCCATCCTGCCGCCAGCCTGGCCAGGCCAGAGTCTGTGCAGCAGCTCCGCGCGAACACCCCAAGTGTATTCTGGGCCGTTGCACACAAGTAAAATGCAAAAATCTTCACCTCCTTGCCCTAGCTAACAGTTTGAGGCCCGAATACCCCCTCACCTTCCCACGCATCCCCCGCATCCTATACTTTTCTTTACGACCTCGCGAGGCAGGGCTCTTTTGCCGCCGTTTTTATCCCAACCTAAACTCGCCAGCCACCACCGGCCCGTTAAAAGCGCTTCATTGGATGCCTCTTAAAAACGGAGAACAAAAGTTTAATTTTTATGTCGTCTTCAACCTCCCCCTTGACTCAGCCGCGCCTCGCCCCTCTCTGTGAGATCGCATCGACCGCCAACCCGACCGCGCCATGCTCCTCCTGTTCCCCTATCGACCTATTTTATCGGCAGTTTTCCCTGCTTCCCCACCCTGCTACAGTAGTACACACTTCTGGAAAAAAAATATAGTGTCGCTCCACATATAAGTCTTTATAGGAGGCTGTCTCACTTTTCATGTGAGGGAAGCAGACGACGGCGACGCCGACGCCCCTCTCGCGGGGAGGGGAAGGATCGGCCTCGGGGTCGCCGTGGTGCTGGCGTCGCCGAGAAATAGCCCGCCGTTTAACGGGTAGTTGGCCACGTGAGTAGTAAGTGCGCGCGCTCTCTCCCGCGGCAATCTCTCCATCTGGGCATACCGTCTGTCTGCTCGGCGTCTGGTCTGCCCGGGCGGGGCCGGCCGGGGCCCAGGTACGCTTGGTGCTCGGCGCGCCCGTGCGCCCGGCTGCCTACCCCGGCATGCACGGGCGCAGAGCCGGCCCCGCCCCGGCCTGACTTATCGCTCTGCTTGACGTCCCCGCGACGCGCGGGCTTAAAGTCCGTCTCTGACGCCCGCCTGACGTCCGCCTGACGTCCCCGTGACCACCCGTCCCCCCCCCCCC